GATAGATAGATAGATAGATAGATAGATAGATAGATAGATAGATAGATAGATAGATAGATAGATAGATAGATAGATAGATAGATAGATAGATAAGTTGCACTTGTCCTGAGAGTTTTGGGAGTTATTTTGCTAACAGACACAATATGAAAGTCATTGATTGTATCATGTTGTTTTGTTTTCTGATTGACTGCATTTGAAATTGTAAAATGTAAAAATGTTGATTTCGGGTGCTTTCATTTAAACTTTTCTGGACCGACTGTTGTTTGGTTGCTAGGATGACGCCGCAGCTGTGACTGCGCAGACAACACCCCCCCCCCCCCCCCATCGACACACAAGCATTCAAACACACACACACCGTCAGGCAGTTTGTACCATTCAATGGGCGTCCCCACCTTCTGTTATCCTCTAAAGATGCCCATCGTAAAGACCCCAATCTATCTCTTTGTTTTCTCCTTCTTTCTTCTCCCTGTTGTTCCGTCTTTCTCCGTCTGCAGCTTTTTTTTATCACCTCTGACTTTATCCTCTCATTTTCCCTTCAGCTCTGCCAAGATTGATTTCCTTTCTCGCAGTTTCAAGCAAACCTCTCCAATATAGTCAGTATGGCTTACTCATACRCACACACACCCAAACACACACAAGCACGCAGACTTTTGAGAGTCACTGTAATGGGATTAGAACGGTCTGCTGAAATATTGAAGAGTCCTGATGCAAATAATGAATAGGCCGGCAATGTATCTGGATGAGTGTGTGTTAAGCGGGAGTGCAGGTGCTTAGCCACACTGTGTGTGTGTATGTGTGTGTGATCAGCAGCTTGTAATGTATGGTGGRTTTAGCCTGGAGGTACAAAGATGCAACAATCTGAAGCACGCACACACACACAAGCACACGATCACACATAAGGTCATAACATCGCCCTTCATCAACCGACTCACCCCACTTTCATCYGTACTATCGCAAGACAAGGAAAGTAACACCTCTGTGTTGTGTACACTTGTGTGCGTGCACGAGTCCTCATGCATGTGAGCAAAGCATGTGTGCCAATGTGGTGATGTATGCGGCGTGCGTGTGTGTAACCCAACAGTGTCTAAGGTTGCTGGCTGAATGGAGGAGAAAATTAGTCRGCATATGATAGTCACACTTCACAGGGCCTGTGTCTGCTTGTGAGGGGGGCTGACGACGGTCACTGGAGCACAAAGTACACAAAGACAGCAAAATATCAATGACATTTGCTAGGAAGCAAAATAACAACACAATGAGATGGGAAAAAAAGCTTGAGATTGTGAGAACTGGTGAGTTTTGTTTGCTGATTTGTGTTTCTTTACCACACTTTACTCAAATAGGTGACCCATATACTAGTTTTAAAGACAGACTGCAGACGGGGTGGTGAACCTGTGGTCCAGTTGTTGAGACATAATGAAGGATGACAGATAGTGTTGTAAAGAGTTCATGGCTGTCGCCTGTGTGATGGTGCMCAATACAATGATCCTCCTTTGCTGTAGTTCATGTTGGGCAAGCAGAACCTTTGCATCATGTGTGGTTGAACATCATCAACTTGTTGGGTCCAACACCAAGCTTCTGTTTGKTCAATCAGATCATTCCTTCAGGTTGATTAGCTTTTCTTTTCAGTGAGTGTTCTTGCATGTCTATGCTTCTAAAACAACATTTTTGTGTGTGTGTGTGTTTTTTTCCAGTAGTGTGCATGTTAAGGCATGTTCTCACATGACATTAGATTATTAGAAATCATTGCATGTCAGAGAATAGCATCTGTTTATTTTCCTTCTGTTTTAGGATGAAGACATTTGCAAAAACACTGTTTAAGTGTATTAATGGTTTTAGATTAGACATTTGGGAGAAGTTACAACAACACAGTTCAAAACTTACACCATGWTATGTTGGCTTTTGTCAACTTAATCCCATTTTAACTGAAGCATCTGAATAAATCTGAGCAGTACGTATTCAGCAGATGCAACAGCATCACCACCTMTTTGGTTAATGAAGAGTGTAGTTCGTAGACAGCTATTGCTCAGAAAGTACTATCCTGGGATTTAAATTTCTACATTTCTAACATAATCACACCCAGTTGGATAAAAGGTCATGACTGACAGGTGTTTGAGCCAATAGGATGCAGGTGTAAATCCCTCCCATAGGAATAAAGAAGTCCTAATCAAGCTCTTGTAATACACTAGTTCCTGTTAGCTCCCAGGGGCTAATTAGCATTCTAATTACTGATTGCAAATGAGAGGTGTGTTGATTGCGTTCTGCCTGTGAGTGGAGAGGCTCAAGAGAGATACACACACACATACACACACACACACACATACACATGCATCTCATGCATACACACTGCCACACTCAGGCACACTGAGTGATCATCGTTAAGAAGCTTATCATGCTCTTGTTCCTCTGCGCTTTTCCAGTCCCCTCTTGTCGACGGCATCTCATTACGATCATAATGCAGTACATATCCTCACACACACACACACACACACACACACACACACAC